AATCAAGTAAGGAGTGAACTCAGAAACAAACCCGTCAGGTGCTAAGGAGGGAACAGGTGATGGTAAAGGGAAAGCAGAGGAGGTCCCTTTAGAGCCACCTCTCTGAGGGGTCACTGGAGCTGGCACCTAAAGGGTGAGAAGTCAGCCAAACAAATAGCCTTCCAGGCAGAGGGGCTGCAAGTGCGAAGACCCCGAAGCAGGAACAGCCGGGACTGGGGGCCGGCATGGCTGGAGAGCAATGGGGAGTGGGAGGGGACAGGGGCAGCCATCAGAAGGGGGTGGCTGCGAAGCGGGGAGCCCAGGGCATTTTGAGCAGGGAAGAAACATAGCCAAATTATTTACCTGTATCTATAGCTACATCTGTATCTACATGCCTATATATATTCATTGATGTGTTTATATCCATAATGATATCCACCCCCCATCCATCCATTCATCCATCCATTCTCCCATCCCTCCATCCCTCCATCCCTCCATCCCTCCATCTGCAATGCACAAAAAGGATCAGAGGGAAGCAAAACAAGAGGCCAGCACACCAGCTTAGGTGCTGTTGCTGTCATCCACGAGAGAGACAATGGTGGCCTCATCTGTGGCAATGGAGATGAAAGGGGGCGGTTGCAAGAGCTCTTTGCTGGAAGAATTGTCAATGTCTTAGTTTGGGTTCCCCAAGAAGCAGATCCTGAGATAAGGATTCAACAGCAAGTAGCTTCTTTGGGTGATCCCAGAAAACCCAAGGAGGAGCAAGGGATGGGACTAAGCAGGGAAAGGCAGGTGGTAGTGAAAGTCACATAGTCCGGCGGACTCTGGCAGCCAGTGCAGAGCACATACACTGAGTCACCACCCCCTACCCCACTCCCACCCCACCCCGGACATAACAGTAACTCTCAGTCATTGTTTGCGGGCTGCTAGGGTGGGGTGGGTGCACAAACCCCCTTGGGGAGGGGGCAGAGGAAACCGTGATGCAGCTGGAGGTCAGCAGCGTGCTCCTGGGCTGCCAGGGGGAGGACAAGTTTGTGCAGCAGGATGCGCTTTGTCTACATCAAATACAAGGAGAGTGTAGAGTTGGGAACGGAGATAATTGAAGCCAAGGGGCAGCCGAGATCGCCCAGGGAGAATGCGTGGGACGGGGAGGGCTGGAGAAGCAATGAGGTCCCAACTCCCTGGACCACAGACAGAAGCTTTGGAGGGCGGCAGCGGGGAGGGGCTGCAGAGAGCCTCCTGCTGCCCCCAGAGGTTTCCCAATCCCAGCTTCTGGAAAATAAAAAAGAAGCTCAAATCCCACAGTGCCTCTGCCAGGTGTGCCTTTCATCAGGTAGCTGAGCTGGCAGGGATGGCTGTCTTTCCCAGGGGGCCAATGGAGGCTCTGGGGACTCAGAGTTAAATGAACGAGGAAGAAAAAGACCCCATCTGCTGTCAGAGCCGAGGGAGGAGTCGCCTGAACGGGCTGGAACGCCAGCGTAGGCGCTCTGGCCGCTTTAGTTATCCTGAGGTGGGCTGCTTCTGTGGCCACATGAAAGTCACTTATTCATCCACTTATTCAACAAATCTTTACTTGAGATGCTTCCCTGAGTGGGGCCCCATGCTGGGTTCCGGAACGTGGAGATGAAGAAGGTGTGATCCTGGACCCAAGCTACCACTGTACGGTGTGGCCAGAGCTACACCCGGGTCAATGCAGGCTCAGGGTAAGGGTGGGGTACAGGAGAGGGAGGGGTGGGGCAGGGCACTTAGCCAGGGGTGATCCAGCCTGGTAGAATGCCGTAGCTGTAATGATATTACCTGGCCTTGTTGATGAAAATAACCAACAAGAACTCAGTCCCACCAAGTCTGATGATAATATCTCAGCCTCGGGTATGTTCTGAGAAATTCACATGTATCCACTCATTTAATCCTAGGGACAGCTCCGTTTTACAGACAGGGAAAGGGAGGACCAGGGAGGTTATGGCTGCGCCAGGAAGTGGCAAAGCTGAGATTTGCACCCAGCTTCCCGGGCTCCAGAGCCCAAACCCTGAGCCACCAGCATGGGCTCCTGCATGTCGGTCAGTGGCTCCTCGTGCTGGGCACTCCCCATCTGCCGGCCCTGGGCAGCATGTGAAGATTCTGGGCCCAGCCACACGTGGACGTGATCCTCACGGCGCTCATGGGCTGGAAAAGCAGCCTGATCAGACCGTCCAGGGAAACGACGCCATCTCCAGAATGTAGCCTCTTAGCTGCTAGTGGGTTTTTGGCCAAGAAAATATTTTGGAAATGCCTGGACGAGTTTTGCAATATTTCCTCACTAAGCAGATGCTCAGATTTTGTGGTGGGCTGACTTTCGGGCACAAGGGACTGGGGAAGAGGAATGCCAGGGAGCCCACGTTAGTAAACGCTTGCTGTGTGCAGGTCTCTGCTAAGTACTTCACAGCCATCTCATGCGATGGCTTCTGCAGCCCTGGGAAAGAGCTAAAAGGCAAACTGACTCTGCTGAGCTCTCTGGTCCACTGGGGGAGACAACTCAGCTCGGTGCGTAGATCTTCCTCACCGGGAAACGAGGCCATTCCGCTCTTGCTCCCTAAAACCCCGACCTCGTCTCCTCTCACTCTCCCCTCCCTCATTCTGCTCCAGCCGCCCTGGCCTTTCTCTTTCTTGAACATACAAAACATCCCCTTTACGGGGCCTTTGCACTTGCTGTTCTCTGTGCCTGGAATGCTCTCCCTCTAAACCTTTGCACGGCTGGCTTCGTCTCATCTTTAAGTCTCAGCCAGAGGCCGCTTCCTCAGAGAAGCGTCCGCTGAGCTACACCAGCTTCCCCAGCTGCCCTCACATCACCTTGTTTGGTTTTTCATAGTGTCTGCCCCTCTCTAAAATTGTCTGTTATATTTATGTACTGGATTTTTGTTTTGTTGCCTCTCTTCACTAGGTTCCATGAAAACGGGCACCCTATCTTATTTGGTTCGCATCTGTGTCCCGAGAGCCTAGAACAGTGCATGGCACACAGTAGGTGCTCAATTGCTGGCTCTAAACCTCCGATTTTCTTCCACTGTTTCCCACTTGAGTAGCCACTTTTACATAAACAGTTACATGAAGTTCTGGTTACCTTAACTGCTCCAAAATTGCTATTTTTTTTCTTGGGCTACTGTGATATGGATTCTGCCATGACTTCTTTTTCCTGAGGAAAGAGTTTGCTTTGAAATCAGCCTTTGGGGCTTTGCAGTGCCACCAGCTAGCTCTGAAGCACA